TGCGAAATTAATGGTAAAGAACGAGTAACAAGGTCGTGATAGAAGGAAAATTTAAAAGATCTATTTTGAAGGGAATCGAGAGTAAGATGAAGGAGGATTTCAGGAATATGTGTTATGTCGGTTAAGATGATATTATGTTTGGATTTGCGGGTATCTTGGCACAATCGATCGCTTCATCTGTAAAAGTAACTTTAGGGGCCACTATCATACCAATTGTACTTTTCTCTTCTTCACACAACACGCCTTTAAGTTCTCGAACGACGGAGGGTCCTATATTAAATGTAATTTAATATATATATTCTTTTTTAATAAACATTAATATTTAAAACAAACCTATTGGATGACACCAATTCTTGCACTGAATTACGATCCTGATCCCCCAAAGCTCGCAAATTATGTCCATCCCTCCATCGCTCCGCCCCCTATCAATAACAATAAATGAGTGAATGTGTCATCATTATTAACAATTAAAGAATGCACGCCGGAATATTCTACGGTGAGTGCCTTCGGTAATTAGCGTATATCCTATTCACCATTAATAATCATTAACTCCTGACAGCGTCTATCATCTTTCAGGAACATCGAAAAACTAAGAGAAAAGAACGTTTAACTGCCAAAGCAGTCAGCCACGATGCGCTTTCAATTTTCTCTCAGATGTTTTACACTGATGTGGCAGTGTACCTTCAGATACACGATACCTCAACAATACTCAATAAGAAACTCACCCTGTATGGATATATTCTAAACTATTCCCTATAAACCGATCGACTTTTTTGAAGCCGATCATTTTTAATATCTCGATGGTATCCCGCTCGAGGATATTTCCTAACATCATCATAGAATATCATATAAGTACGGAAACAACTTCACTTTTCGGTGCGAGTCATTTTAAAAAATAAATTTTTGGAAAAAAAATAAACATTTTACGTATTTTATATATCAAACCGATAACTCCTTTTTGCTGGGAACATTTTTTCGAGAAAACATGTAAAAATTACTCGAATTATTTACTATGTATAAAAAAATTATTATCAACATATTTTAGAATGGATTAAATATATTTTGGTACGTACGTAGCATGTTGAGACTTGCTTTAAATAGAAATTGAACACGGCTTTCTACATACAAGGTTTAATATAGGTACATCTATGACCGATTTGGAAATTACGCTTTTTATCTTAGTGTGTAATATTAAATTGATCGTTTTTTTAATTATCTTGAAATTTTGAAACTAACTTCTGCGTTCTAGCAAAAAAAAAAAAATTCCTTGCGAAATTTTAGTATAATTTTTTCTTTTAAAGCCTTACCCTTACCCTGAC